CGAAAAATGATAGAGATCAAACCTGGAAACGAACCCTGTGTTATAAGGTGGTATATTGCAGGTTGTACTAACAGTGTGAGATTCTAGTTGATGGTAGGCTGATGGGATAAAGTGACCCTTATCTCAAATCAAGTGTATATTTTATTCTGATGCGTGGTTATTTGATATATTTAAAGACAACCTTGCATGGAAGATGAGCCATGTACAATGATAAAGATATTTATGTTTGTTTGTTTTTAAACTTCTTACAACTGTGATGGTCCATTCAGTCATTGTGTAAATAGTTCTGTGTCTTGAATGCTGGTAATAAATCATATCATACGTGCATTTGTATTGAGCACTTTTGTGTTTTAGAGATGGGACATATATAACCTGTTGACATCTCCAAAACATCCAGGCAACGTATATCCCGAACTTTGAGTACGCGTGGCTGTCTTACGCAACACAATCTCAAATTGTTGTTATTTATCTTGTAAAGAGCAGATTGTGATCAGGGAACACTTGAATGGGACACTTTGCTACATTTTCAGGATTATTTTGGAATAAGAATAATAAAATCAAGACAAGACAATTTTTATGGTGCTCTTCAGATTTCTTTCAAATGTGACAAACGATACCGTTCGCATCTTCCAGAAATAGTAGACCAGCACCAGCACCTGCACCAGAACCAGCGCCAGCATGAGCACCATCACCTGCACCAGCACCAGCACCAGAACCAGCGCCAGCACCAGCACCAGCACCTGCACCAGCACCTGCACCAGCACCAACACCAGAACCAGCGCCAGCACCAGCACCTGCACCAGCACCAGCACCTGCACCAGCACCAGCACCTGCACCAACACCAGCACCTGCACCAGCGTCAGCACCTGCACCAGAACCAGCACCTGCACCTGCACCAGCACCAGCACCTGCACCAGCACCAGCACCAGCGCCAGCACCTGCACCAGCACCAGCGTCAGCACCTGCACCAGAACCAGCACCTGCACCAGCACCAGCACCTGCACCAACACCGACACCAGCACCGACACCAGCACCGACACCAGCACCAGCACCTGCAACAGCAACAGATACCAGCACCTGCGCCGACACCAGCACCATGGACCAGCTCTTACACCAGGCACCAGGCACCAGTACTGCTTGCCTCAAATGTTAGCTCAAACAGCTGGTGCTGGCATTGGGTGCTTTCAAGACTGGGTAATTCATGTGCACTTCTTTTGTTCTCGCGAATGCTGCCTGGGTTTATTCCAAACAAATTTCGTCCTTTTAGCGAACAAATATAGTGAGAGGGGCCACAACGCCAGAGACATTTTGACAAATATGTATATAGAAACCTGATCTATCCAGAAATCTCCTCTCCATTTGTTGGAACTGGTTTATTTGCAATAGCTTCTACTTTTGCATTGACCAGTTGAACCTTACATTGATTGACAACATGACCTAATGGCACAAGTGTCTGAGCAACTTTACTGTCAAATTTGCCTGTGACAGTCTCTCAAAGAATGCAAAGATCCTATTCATATTGTTGTCACACTCTATTGGGGTACGAGTCAGTTTTGGGTAACGAATTCAGGTCGGTACAATATTGGTAGGTGTTGTCAAGACTGGGTAACATGATGCCTTGTGAATTACACTCACTGTCATTTGGCTCCCTGATGTCGTTCTCAAACATTAACTTGGCTTCACTTTGGAGTGAGACGGATGTTGTATAACAGGCAATGCATCACCTACATCTATGTCATGACTAGCTAAGTCGGCATGACCAGGTACTTCTGGCAACAAATGGACAAACTCGTGGATCAAATCTGACAACTGTTGCTGTTGTTCTCTTGAGCTAACTTCACATCTTTGTTTAACACCTGACATTGTAAGCCTAGTTCTGTCTTTCTTTCTCGTCCAAATCATAGTCAAAGATGGCTTTGATTTTGTTCTGTGTTAATTTTTCCTTGGCAACTCGGTAGCCTTTGGAAAATAGACACAGTCAAAGGAACAGTGTGTGTGTGTGTGTGTGTGTGTGTGTGTGTGTGTGTGTTCTGATTAGGTTTTCCTACCACCTGACATGCATGACAATCTTACAAAACAGTGACACATTCTGACGAAAACTGGGGCAGAAGAAATAAGCTAAATACTTATCACAAGTTATGTTAACACCCACATGACAAGCCATAGGGTGTTGTGGGTCAAACACATCACATATTCAAGAAATCTCAGTGGAACATAATAAATATTCAGCAGAAACTTAGACGTAAATCCTGCTGGGGTATCATGCAGGAAGCTAAGAGACTGCAAGTCCTCATGATCTTTGGTTACTGATGGCCTATAGCCCGTGTTTACAAAAATATATACATGATATTGTTATGCCCAAAATGTTTCGTAAATTGTTTTTAAATATAACTTTGCATAAATGCCTTAATTGTAAACATATTAACTTGGTATCGTCGCTATATGGCTGAAATAATGCCGATTCGACGTTAAATTTTAACTCAATCACTCAGCAGAACCTACAGGAGGTCTCCCATATAAAAAAAACCCGCCGCCATATAACTGAAATATTGCTGAGTGCGACGTTAGACAACAAAACAACAAAACAGAATCAAACATCATTTTGGTAGTAGAAACAGGTACCCTGCCTCGCTCATTGGACGGCATCGCAAGCTGATCGCCATACATGTCAGGAGTGCTGCTCTGTGGTGTCAGGCAAGAACCAAACACTTACTTTTTCTTCAAACCAGTAGGTCAGGATATGTTTACCCTTTTCACGAACACCGCGTGTCATCACTAGTTTTCATTAACCATTCATATGATTTTCACTGCAAATTTACCTTTACGCCCATTGGAATCTGTTTGGGCTGATAATCGAAACTGGTTATTCTCTGGCGTGGACGTTGTATATTTGACAGTTGATGCCAGTAGATATTATTGATTGATTGATTGATTGATTGATTTGTTGTTTAACGCCGCACTCAGCAGTATTCCAGCTATAAGACGGCGGTCTGTAAATAATCGAGTCTGGACCAGACAATCATGTGATTAATATCATGAGCATCGATCCACGTAATTGGAATCGTTGATATGCATCAACCAAACAACTCTTTGAGAAGGAAGGCCGAAGGAACAGTAAACGAGCAGGCTCTCCTCGCCTCGGTTCCGAAACTTTCATATATTCGGGTTTCATTTCTGACTAGCATTTCTAACTCTGTCTTCCCGTTCTCAGGGAACTAATGTTTGAATCTGGCGGTAACTGACCATGTCATTTGCAACGGCCGCCTTCTCCCGAACATACCTCAATGAGCCGGAAATAATACACAGTCAATCCTTAATTATGTCTTTAACAGGAAGAATGTGTTGATAGTATTAGGGCAAAAAGTAAATATGTCTTTCTGGTGGTTTAGTCTCTTGCTTAATTTGTTATCTTGAACCCAATGACTGCGAGAGAAATGTCAATGTGAAACTGGTCTCTATGCTTATATTTGCGAAAGATAAAAAGTATTGTAAGAACAAAACACCATGTGACAGTATTTGCTGGACATTGTGTCAGTCATATGAACTATGAACAAATACCACTCCGTTTTGTTTTGTATCTATATGAAATTGGTATGTTTAACGCAAACATAATTACATTATAAGGTCCTCTATGCAACCATAGCAGTGTATTTTTGTCACATATCAAAACACAGTTTTGTGTAGCCGCGATGTCATGTTTGATTGTGAATAAAATATGCATTGAATTTCCCAATTGTATGCTACTGCAAGCGGTTCGAAATGTAATACAAGCTTGGTTCAGTTTACCAGTGTTTGACGAAAGTTGACGAAATATTTGTACAGATTCTTGCAAATATTTTGTTTCCCAGAAACGAGGTCTAACAATCCCTTAATGATAATTAGTTAATGTGAAGAATTACAGCACCTTTGCTAAAATTCACAAGATCCTTGCTGACATGATATTATTACTGTAATTAGTATCACATGACTGTAGCTAAACTAAAAAGAACAAACAAACCAAACATTGTTTGTTCCGGAGTGTGAGTGAGTGAGTTAAAGTTTAACGTCACATCGGCAATATTTCAGCCATATCGTGACGAGAAAATTTGACATTAATAATATATATTTAAGCTATATATAATTCTGTCATCGAAGGACGGAATGATAACTAGAATATCACAGATCTACGTAAAACTAGTTTGAAAGCACGTACAAATAAATTACCACAACACAATATAAAAACAGGCTATAGATCACCACCAACTGAAGGTAGATCACCACGCTAGGGTCCATGGGGACTTACATTACTTTTGCTACCTGCATGGACCCCAGTCGGATTTACATCATCTCTTCAGTTGTTGGCGATAGGTGACAGATTTAGCCAAACATTAAAACAACACATATGCTAAGATTAAAAACGAGGCAGAAATAAACAGAAGAAGACTATTTTCAAGTAAGGTGAGACCCGTGAAGATTCCGGGGTAGAATAGGTCTTCAGCAACCCATAATTGCCGTAAAAGGTGACTATGCTTGTCGTAAAAGGCGACTAACGGGATCGGGTGGTCAGGCTCGCTGACTTGGTTGATGCATGTCATCAATCCCAATTGCGTGAATCGATGCTCATGATATTAATCACTGGATTGTCTGGTCCAGACTCGATTATTTACATACCGCCGTCATATAGCTGGAATATTGCTGATTGCGGCGTTAAACAACAAACCAACTAACCAACCAATCAAGTAAGGTGATTGTATTGTCAAAATAATTAACCTATGTTCAAGGTATGCCGTGAATGAGAACAAAATTGAGCATTGTGTCCAGTTTAAAGGATGGAGTCAGTTGTTTAGTAGTCGTTTAGTAATCGACCAACCATCAAGACTATAATAAACACTTGAAACCCATTTAATCCTTCAGAAAGTCCCACTTGTCAGTCAGTATCCCAGGCATCAATGCACGCCCAAACTTGACGACGGACAGAAGACGGACGCCTCAAATAAGGACGAACTGGTCTTGCTCTAAGTTTACGGTAAAGGTGACCCCGCATATAGGTGATAGCTGGTGATCGTGCTGGCCAAGGCAAGACGTAATTGGCATGCATTATACCTCTCACAAGACGTGCTGCATGTGGCCTTGCGTTTTCTTGCTGAAACAGGGTCCGCGGTTCCTGTTGTTTGAACGGGTGTACAGCAGGGTGGGGAACTCGGTAGTACAGCAGGGTGGGGAACTCGGTAGTACAGCAGGGCGGGGGACTCGGTAGTACAGCAGGGTGGGGAACTCGGTAGTACAGCAGGGTGGGGAGCTCGGTAGTACAGCAGGGCGGGGAACTTGGTAGTACAGCAGGGTGGGGAACTCGGTAGTACAGCAGGGTGGGGAACTCGGTAGTACAGCAGGGTGGGGAACTCGGTAGTACAGCAGGGCGGGGAACTCGGTAGTACAACAATGTAGGGAACTCGGTAGTACAGCAGGGCGGGGAACTCGGTAGTACAGCAGGGCGGGGAACTCGATAGTACAGCAGGGCGGGGAGCTCGGTAGTACAGCAGGGCGGGGAACTTGGTAGTACAGCAGGGTGGGGAACTCGGTAGTACAGCAGGGTGGGGAGCTCGGTAGTACAGCAGGGCGGGGAACTTGGTAGTACAGCAGGGTGGGGAATTCGGTAGTACAGCAGGGTGGGGAACTCGGTAGTACAGCAGGGCGGGGGACTCGGTAGTACAGCAGGGTGGGGAACTCGGTAGTACAGCAGGGCGGGGACCTCGGTAGTACAGCAGGGCGGGGAGCTCGGTAGTACAGCAGGGCGGGGAGCTCGGTAGTACAGCAGGGCGGGGAACTTGGTAGTACAGCAGGGTGGGGAACTCGGTAGTACAGCAGGGTGGGGAATTCGGTAGTACAGCAGGGCGGGGGACTCGGTAGTACAGCAGGGTGGGGAACTCGGTAGTACAACAATGTGGGGAACTCGGTAGTACAGCAGGGTGGGGAACTCGGTAGTACAGCAGGGTGGGGGACTCGGTAGTACAGCAGGGTGGGGAACTCGGTAGTACAACAATGTGGGGAACTCGGTAGTACAGCAGGGTGGGGAACTCGGTAGTACAGCAGGGTGGGGAACTCGGTAGTACAGCAGGGCGGGGAACTCGGTAGTACAGCAGGGCTGGGAACTCGGTAGTACAGCAGGGTGGGGAACTCGGTAGTACAGCAGGGTGGGGAACTTGGTAGTACAGCAGGGTGGGGAACTTGGTAGTACAGCAGGGTGGGGAACTCGGTAGTACAGCAGGGCGGACATAGTTAACGGTAAACATTCTATTGAAAACAGAGCAGGATTGTGACAGTAGACAGCTTGGGAGAAGCTAAACTAGTGTTATGAATAAATAGAAACTCATGTTCGCCTAATTCCATCAAGACTTGGGAATAGATGTCAGAAAACACACTTCCTGACAAATTATAAAATCAACCTTTTGAAACATTGAGCCTTACCCGCCTTAAGTGTTGTTTTTAATCGGAAATATTGAATAGTTGAATGTCAAGTTCTCACTTATATGAACACAGCTTTCATAACACTTTCTAAACATAATTCTAAATTCTTAAATTGTGCAGATCCTGTGGACCAAAAGTAGCCCTATCATGCATTGTCCTTTCGGGACAAGTGAAAGTCATCCCTTTCACTCTGGACGTGAACTTATTATGAAACTGGAGGCTTGTGATATTCAGAGCGATGTGGTAGCATAGTGGTTAAAGCAGTCGCTCATCATGATGAATATCTGGGTTCGTTTCTCCACATTAGTTCAATGTGTGAAGTCCATTTCTAATGTCCCCCGCCGCATCATAGCAGTAATGTTCCTACTCATTTGATATATTGAACAGTTGATATATGATATACGTACATTTGTATTTAAGACTCCGCATAAATATTTTAGACCAATGACTGAATGGCTAAAATGATAATATGTTTTTCAATTTAATATACAATTGTTGGCAACAGCACCTTAATGAATTTAAGCCAGTTTGAACTGTAAGATCTGTTGGGGAATAACCATTTAATTCTCAAGCCCCTATTTTACTGGAAATAAGACCCGTGAATATCTGGGGTAGAATAGGTCTTCAAGCAACCCATGCTTGCCGTAAAAGGCGACTAAGCTTGTCGTAAGAGCCGGCTAGCGGGATCGTGTGGTCAGGTTCGCTGACTTTGTTGATGCATGTAATCGTATCCCAATTGCGTGGATCGATGACCGCCTCCGTGGTCTAGTGGTAGAGCGTCTGACCGTAGAGCGGAAGGTCGAGGGTTCGATCCCTGGCCGCGTCATCCCAAAAGGCGTGGAAAGATGGTACTTTTTACTCGTTAACCTGCCTGGCGCTCGGCATTAAGGTGCTGAAACAAGGACTGGTCGGCTGAGAATCAGTATACGATTTCTGAGTTGGGTATTCACGTGGCATGGTGCCTCAGTGGGCTAGCACTATAAAATCGGCATTAGTCCGGACTAGTACAAGCACTCACGAATCTCGCAATGTATCTATCTTGCCCTCGTTTAACTTGAATGGTTAAGTTGAACGAACAATACTAGTCAATCGAGTCAACCGAGTTCATAGCAGCAATGTCAAACGCTGAGGGGTCCATTTATGCTCCCATGGGGATTCCTGGTCAGAAAAGATTCAACGCAACCAATGCTGGTCGATAAAGGCGAATTAATGGATCGGATGGTAAGGCTCGGAGACTGGTAGATAGTGTGTCACCATGGGCGACGGAGTGGATCGTTCATCATAAAATCAATCGCTGTTTGGTCCAGTCTCGATTATCTACAGGGTGCTTTCATAAAGATGGACTATTGTTGAGGGTGGCATTAAACAACAAACAAAGAAACAATCAATAGTTGTTATGATCAATGACTGAGTTAACACTTAGTCCTCAGAGATCGAACTTTGCCTCCACTGTGCACTCGTCAAGGTTTTAATGGAACACTTTTATGTCACACATCTTGTTTTCATGAAAATCGACGACATTTTAAAGATGCCAAAAATGTTCACTCTTGAGAAAAAATCAGTACAAAACGCATCACTTTCTTTATTCACTATTAACTCACCAGTAAGTTATACACTGTTATTTTATCAATCACCAGTGTTATATTGAAGGTATCTGACAAGTAGGAAGACCCAAAGATTGGCACCATTCCAATCTCTTTTTTTGCTGAACTATATATCTTAAACTAGGATACTATATCTGATTGGCGCAGTATACAGAGGACCTTTTGGCAGACTGTCGTCAAGGTAGACCATATATCTTCAAACATATCTTACAAAAGGCGAAACGCTTCAAAGGCTGCGAGAGCGAGTGATCACGAACTGAAGATCTGTTTAATATAGGCGAGTCGGAAATTCTGCACATGCTCTAGTTTTACACAATATATTTTGAAATAGTAATGAACGCTAAAAAGTCTCAACAAACGGTTTACGAGTGTGTAGACGTGGTAGGGTAAAAGAAAAGAGTTTGTCATTGTCTTTGTAATCATTATGAATTCAGTTAGATGTATAGAAGGTCGTGAAGGTGAAATGGTGACTGATACGAAGATGTAAACGTTGTCATACGACTCAAACGTTTTTTTTATCAATGTTACAACATTCAACGCATCAGCAAAGCTTATGGCAAACATGCGTAGGACATTTCCAAAGCTGACGCATCAGTGACTGAAACGATGCAATTTTCTATTTTAACTTGTACCTCACGTTCCCGTGGTTTTTTTCAGTTCAACAATTTGCTTGTCTTTTAAAGTATTTGTGACTCGTGGCACCAGTGGGGCAGGATACGCTTACCTTTTCTCGAACACCTGGTATCTTTACTATTTGACACATTTCTAAAGATATTTATGATATGGTCAGAATCGTACAATGGATTCCCAGTTTTTTCTCTAATATAGCCGCTATGGTTTAGAGTGAGTGAGTGAGTTGGGTTTAACGCCGCTTTTAACAGTATTCCAGTTATATCACGGCGTGTCAGCTTAATGTGGGAGGAAAGCCCGAAGTGATGCAGGTCTCAGACGTTTAGCACTTCGGTGAAACCCAAGAGCACGGGTATGGTGCTGACAAACCTAGAAACATAATTGGGGCGAAGCGGGATTCGAACCCACAATCATAGGTTTCTGGCGTGCCCAAGGGACGCAACTCTGCACAGCGAATCGCGGCGCCTTAGACGACTGGGCCACCCGTGCCCCCGCTATGGTTTAGAAAAATTATCAACAACATTATTTATTGATTATTATGTTAAACAGATGGTTCACAAAAGGCAGGCATCAGTGCTTCTGATCTTGCTAATGGCCAATATGACATCGTCTTTTGTTGGTTACCAAGCAAGCACATGCAATTTTAACAGCACTGAAATATATCATGAAAAAATCCAAATATAAAGAATATATTATTTTTTCAGATTCACTTTCGTGCCATCAGGCTATTAAAAATATGTCATGTAGACATCCATTTTGAATTGAAATTCTTGAGTTAGTTAATGATCTTGCTACTGGCCAATATGACATCGTCTTTTGTTGGTAACGAAGCCATGTTGGTATCATTGGTAACACAATGGCTGCTGCTGCTGCAAAAGCAGCACTCAACAAATCTGTGACACCACTTCTTTTACCATACAGTGATTATAAACCTATAATTTGATCTTTCATCCGTGATCTGATGCAAAAGAAGTGGGACACCCAAGTAGGTATCAATAAATTACATAAAATTAAACCAAATATTGCTTACACCTACTTGGGCTGTCAGTCCAAATTAAAGGGGTCATGAAGCGACGATGTCGTATTGGCCATTCGAAATATACACATGAGTATTTGTTAAAAGGTGAGGATCCCCCGTTTTGTATCCCTTGTGATGAAAGAATCACGGTCAAGCATGTCCTTCTTGACTGAATTGATTTTTTCATCAAAAGGGATATATATTTCAGTGTAAAAACGGTCAAGGACCTTTTTAGTAAAGTTAATTCTAATTTAACACTATTCTTTTATAGAAATAGAATTTATTCACAAATTTTGATGTACTTACTGTATTGTAATAAAATTGGTAGTGCTAATTTATCACTTAACTGGTAAACTATCGCCAGTGACTGTAGGGTGGTATAAATCCTGCCGGGGTCCATGCAGGAAGCAAAGGTAGTTAAGTCCCCAGGGTCCCCAGTATGATGATCAACCTTCAGTGACTGACGATCTCTAGCCCATTTTAATATTTTGTTTTATATTGTAATACTTTCTGGTTTTAAATATTCTCAACTAGTTTTAAATCGCATCTGTGATATTGAAGGTTTTGTACTGTCCATCGTTGACAGGTTTTTATTTAGTCTAAATGTATGTGTTATTGATGTAGTTCTCGTCACGATATGGCTGAAATTGTGACGTTAAATCTTAACTCACTCACTCACTCACTCTATACGTCGGTTTCAGTCAGTAGTGGAAATGTAACAACGTACAAGTACTAGTATCCAAGTGAGATTTCATAATGGCAGATTTAAAACATGTATTTGTTCAAAGATTACTAAGATACAAGCGGATGTGTCCATGAAACATGAATTCATCATGACAGTGTCAACACATCTCCTCTGTAAACTTGACCTCTGGCTGAAAGTGACGTGGGTCGAATTATCTGTTCACAAGTCAGTATCAGGTATGACCATCATTAGCGTTTACACCAGCTTGACAACTGCGCCTCATTTGACGACTCAGGATGGTTGGGGAAGATTTGTGGGATGTCATTCCAGGACTGGACCAAGGCCCGTCGCAGCTGGTCTAACGTCGTCGGTTCGATTAGAGGTCGCGAAAACGACGTATTTCTTCCTACACTGGCGACACAAGAAGGACATAGTAGTGTGGGGATGTTCTGTTGTCCAAAGAAACACTGCGCATTGTCCTGTTGTAACGTGATGTGACATCCATTGGTCTGAAGGAACGGGAGGACGTGAGGATGGATATCTCCGTCACGGTACCAAACACATGTCAAATTGCCATCGATGACCACGCGAGGGGTCCCTTTGAAGAGCCGTGATTACTCCCCACACCATTTAGCTCCCACCACCGAAGGCAGAACTTAGAACAACACACAAGTCAGCATAACTTTCCATCCAAGATCGGAGATTGTTAGTGGCAGTATCCTCGGAGGGGTTAAAGTACTGTAAAATTATTGTCCCCCTGACGATGTTTGGCTTTCAACAAAGTTGCTTTTCACAGTTGCTTCACTTCACCGGTTTACTTTGTTGGAGTTGCCATCCCAGGTGTAACTCAATCAAACTCATGGGATTTTATGCAGTGTTTAATCGGTA